AAATTATTTACAACAAAACAAGATCTGAAAAAGCACGAAGCCTCTTAGTGAAATGTCATTTGCCTTTTTTACCCTTTAAAAATAAATATTACATTGGACAAAATTATAAAAATTTACTTTCCTAATATTTAGGATCTCGAAATAAATTAAGATTTTTTAGTTATTAAATATCTCGTTATTCAACAAAGTAGGAAGTCCTAATATTTAGAATTTTAAGTCAACCAAGATTTTGTATATGACAAATCCTTTCCTTAAAAAGTTGGTTGTCCAAATACGAGAAAAAAAAATGATTGATCCTGATTATAATAATTTATTGTAAAATTGAGGTTCTATGTAATTTATATTACTGAGCAAATCTCACTAATGAGTGATTCAATGTAATTCAACTAACATATTGCATATTAAATTATTTTTTTATTTAAAACTTATAATGAGCTAATATTAACAATTTGAATCAACAGAAAAATCATAATAAGAGTATTTTTGGTTGTATGTAAGTTATAATTAACGTTGAATATAACAACTATAATTATTCACAAAATATTACTGTATGCACGAAGTCTTAATATTTAAAAAATTAAAATTAATCTATAATATAGATAATTAATATATTATTGTTTTCGATGATGACCACTTATCAGAAGGTTTTCTTTTCCTTTCCATAAATAGGCTTTCCCAACAACAATAGGGATTCTTACTTGTTTTTGCATGATTTGGAATTGGAGTGACAAATACACGATTTATTTTAAAATCTTAAATAACAATTTATTCAAAGTTTACATTATAGCTTTAACCTACAAATTGTAGCTTTATTTAGTTAATCAGATTGTATTGCACAATAGTCTATGAATCTTCACTTAATTTTAACACAAAAATAGTAAATTTTAATTACATGTAATTTATCACATCGCCTTTAATTTGAAATAAAAATAAAGCAAAAAAGAAAAATCTTTATAGAATAATGAAGGAGGCAATTACACCCAAAGAAAAATATTACTAACTTTTAATTTATAATCATAGGCTACTTTCTTCCGCTCTTTAATTTTTATTAAATTATAAATACAATGTTCAGTATTATAGTTAAATAATTTTAAAAATTATATATTTATTAAATTAGGGTTCACGCGCAAAGATGTTTGGCTTAATTCATCAAATAGAGTATATTTTTAACAGTGAGCCACTTTTCAACTTGACTAGGCGCATGCGTATAGGAGTGTGGACTAGACGGTAATTACACTTCGGAATATAAGAAAGATCCTACGTTCTTAATCACCGAAGTAAAATACAGCCAAAAAGCGTGACTGAGCGCGTGTTCCCACTTCTCCCCTCTTCTCCTCTTCCCCGTCCGTCCGCCATGGCTACGACGGAGCAGCCACTGAAGAAACGGAAGCTTTACGAACAACTACACAAACCATCACCAGCACCGCCTCAGTCACCGCCGCCTCCTCCTCCTCCGCAACCACCACCACAGCCTCAACAGCAGAGCGTCGCTGCTCTGGCGATATCTCAGGATGAAATCCTCCGACGGAGAAGGAACCAAGAAGAGATTCGCAATGTTTACGAGTGTTACAAACGCATTAAATTCTGCATCTCACAGAACGATCATCGTCTTTCATCCGAACTCGAACAAGCCTACCTTTCTCTCATTACTTCCTCAAGAGGTCAGTATTTAGTACTTTTTCCTCTCTCTAATTTCGCTTTTGTCCCTTTTCTTCTAAATCGTGAAATTGAGTATTTTCATTGATATTTGTGTTCAGTTGCTTGCTGCAGAGTCAACATATGTATGAAGTTTATACAGTTCGTTTTTCTCTTCGTTGTTATTCGAAGAATAGGAGCTAATAATATTGTGAGACTGATCAATTACATGAAGTAGGTGTCTTTAAGCGTTTCTGGGATTTTCCCCATCCCTTGTATGATTCATGAACCCTAGGTTTTAGAAATTACCGCTTCGTCTAGTTGGAGTGAAAAAGAGGAGATGTTCAAGGAGTGCAAATAAATGTGGAGTGTTTGTTTCCCTTGCCAGACTGAAAGGAAGAACTATATCTTGTTTACTTAATTTCAACTATATAATCCCACAAGTGGGATCTGGGGAGGGCAATGTGTACGCGGACCTTACCCCTACCTCGTGGAGGTAGAGAGCCTGTTTCCGAAGACCTTCAGCTCAAGGACAAAATGAAAAGGAGCATTAGCAATAAGCGGTAGCAACATCGATATATAAACAACAACGGTATAGTAAAATAATAAAGAAATAACTGGTAAGAATATAGCTCGATGAACAGGAAAAAGGAAAAAAAGACTACAAGACTAATACTACTGCCACTAGGGTGACAAAGGAATACCTTCAGCTATTCCCTAACCTTGTACCCTAATCCTCAACCTCCACACCCTCCTATTTAGGGTCATGTCCTCGGTAAGTTGAAGTTTCGTGATGTCCTGCCTAATCACCCCACCTCAATACTTCTTAGGTCTACCTCTACCTCTCCTCAAGCTCACCACAATCAATCTCTCACAACTCCTCATGGGGGCATCAACGACTCTTCTTCTCACATTCCCGTACCATCTTAACCTTACTTCACATATCTTGTCCTCCTGGGGCCACTCCCACCTTGTCCCGAATAACTTCATTCCTAATGATATCTCTCTTGGAATGCCTGCACATCCACCTCAGCATTCTCGACTACTTTCATCTGTTGGATAAAGAGTAAATTACATTATTATCCAAACAAACCAACGAGAGTAACGCGAGCAAGGGTTAAAGCTTTTTCATGGTTGAAGTGATGCGAAGAAGACTGTATTTTGAATTAGTGACAGAGTGATGCAAAGTGAGGGTTATAGCTTCTCATGGTTGAAGTGATTGAAGAAGAGTGTGTTTCGGGTCACCGCTTCTCAATGGTTGAAGTGGTGCTTAGCTATGTTGCTTGTATTTTTCAAAAAATGCCACTGCACCAATGTTGGAACCTCCAAAAAATGCATAATATTTGGAGGATCAGACACGGGTATGCAACATTTTTGGAGGATTCGAGCAAAACATAGATGCTAAGAAGCACGAGTTTTGGGCAGTGAGGTGCTAAGCGATCCAAGTGAGAAGGATCACTTCTTCGAATACAACTTTAAAAGATGGATGGTGTTTTACTATCTGAGTATCAGCACTCCTCTTTGCTATCATCTGCATTTTTTCTTAGCTTACGAGAAACTTATTCTACTACTTTTCTTAGGTCTGCTCTTCTTTACTTCTTTCTTCATCTTCTTTTTTCTTTTTCACAATGACTCTTTCTTCTTTCTCTAGTGTCTGAGTCATCTTATTCTGTTCTATATACTTGGTGTCCAAAAAATAACACTTATTAATCTGATTGGTGATGTCGTTTAGGGTATTTTTTTGACCGAAATTGTCAGCCCCCTTTAGGACTGCTCATATGGTTGACCATTTCATCAAAAAGTATCTGTGCCATTAAACCTTCTGGCACAAATTGGACATGCTTAAATCTTCCAGGGATACTTGGATTTCCATTCCAGTTGTGCTATGGCGGGTTATATGGAAGGAAAAAAATACTAGAGCTTCAAAGACAAGTAGTATAATGCAGTTAACCTTAAACTCAAATGTATACATCTGCTTACTTTTTGGTGCAACTGGCACAATATGTATCACGTCCGTGAGCCATGGTCAATTTTCTCAGTTCTTTACACACACTGTAAAGTTCTTTTTTTGGATGTACTCTTTTCCCGCATTCCCTTAATGCTAGTTTTTAAATCAATAATATCCGTACGTTACCTGTCCAAAAAAGCCCCCCCAAAAAAAAAGAGAAACCTGAAAGAGGTGATACCAGTTGAATAATTACCCAAAAAAAGGAACGACGAACGATCACTAGTAAGGAGACATTGTGCCATCAAAACGGCCACTTGAAATATACTAGTAAAGTCATCATAACAAGAAAATTTTTTGACTGAACAGTTGACATACCAGGGACTTCATCCAAATTTTAGGTTACTTACAGTCTAGTGAATGATTTTTCTTTGTACTTTAAAAGGTAAGCAATTTTCCTACAAATAAACAATTAAATAAATAATATTCTATGACATTTAAAATCAGAGAAGGTCGTTAGAGATGGTTTGATCATGTCAATTCACAGAACTCTATATAAGACGGTTTGTAGATGCGACTATTAGTACTAAAATTCTAGGCACTTAAAATGACATAGAAGAAAGTTGTTGTATCTATCTTCGTAACAATACCTTTGCAGCGTGCACCTATTTCATTTGGATGAAGGGCTCTGGATTGCCTGTATGGAGTGGCAATAATCTCTCCTACTTGTGACAGTCCTCTCCAGTCCCTCAAAAAGAAACTCTCTTCATCCCATTTTATGGAGTGGTGTTTGGCTAGGTACGAAGTTTAAGAAAGAAAGGAAGGTTTTGAAATTTGTTTGTCCCAAACAAGCTACAGACATTTGTGAGGTTATAAATCATCTCATTAAGGGTAAGATGAAAATTTTAAAGTTCAATTGTTTCTAAATATAGAAATGCGCCATTCTTTTCGTGACGGACTAAAAAAGTATGCCACATAAAATGGGAAAGAGGACTTAACAAATGGAGAATGAGAAGGAAAATTGCAGAGATAGATTACACTGGGGGTGACATGGTTTATTTCTCAATTCATTGAATGATTATACATATGAAACTAAGACAGGTTACCTAGTGACGTGTATTGGTGTTCCGTCCTGTTCTTTCTAAAATCTCATAAATGTGCCAGTTTTTCTGTGACATCCATGCCCTTGCTACTCATGCTCAAATGTGATGCAAGTGTGCCAATTGTTTTTCGAGACCGCTTTCGTTCCATTCTTTCTGAAGTGTCACTAAATGTTATGCGGGACCCACTCGTATTGACTAATTGGCATGAACAGCAGTTGCTATGTTTATGCTTCTAGTTCTATCTTGTGCAACTTTGCATTAACTTAGTTCCACTTAGCTACTTATCGAGTAATTCTTTTCATGCTTTCATTATCGTAGTAAATAATTGCAGTATAATGAATTGCCATCAATATTCCTGATAGAAAATCATTATACTGACGCAGCCTGTGAACTTCCAAAGGGACTTACTCCTATTTGTTGAAAGTATTCCTCTTTGGTACTGAAATATATTGCATGTTCTATGAAGCTTTAATTTAAATTTTCATCTATGATTCTGGGTGTGCAGGCTGCACAAGCGTACAACGTTTAGTGGCTGATTTTATTCCTCGATTTGCTTCGTATTGTCCTACTGCTCTTGAAGCTGCAGTGAGAGTTGTTATTAACATGCACAATTGGAAGTTAGCTTTGATTGGTAAAGGAGATGATATAGACGGTGTTGCGTTTGAAACTGCTAAGGCATGCATTTTTGGTCTAGCTGATATCTGTCAAAGTGCTGCTGCTGAGGCGCCAACATCATCAGTTATTCAAGGAATTTGCTCCACAGTATTCCATGACGCACTCACCTTCTTCATATCCAGTTTTGAAGGGAAGGATATTCTTGAGATTGCCGACGAGGAACTTTTTGGTATTCAAGATACTCATTCGTTCTCTGAGTACCAACAAAAAATTTTAAACAAGGAAAAATCGGTATTGCTCAAGCTATCTGAGTTCCGTGTACTTAGTTTCCTCAGAATTTTCTTTACTTGCCCAAAAAACTCAATTGCATCTTGTTTTGAGCTCTTTGGCTCTACTGGATCGGAGGAAGCTAAGCGAGAAGGATATTACTTACTTCGTCAGTTAACAAACAGGCTTGATGATGCTATTGCTCATCCTAGGAATGGCGGAAATAGTGCAGTGACATCATCAGCAACATCCAGAGAAACAAGTAGCAAATGTAAGGGTTTTGTGGATGATGGCCTTGCAACATGCAGCAAACAAGTCTCGGACAACAGCTCTATTGTTTTGAAGAACTGCTTATTAGGACTGGTACAATACCATATCTAACACTTTTCCTTTGATTAACTAGTCAGTTACTGTTCCTTTTTCCGTTTTCCCCTTTCATCTAAAAGCAATTCTCTGAGACTAATCCTTGTTCTTTTGTATTGGTTGAAACATGGGACCTCTTGTTCTGTGTCTATTTCTGCTATTATTTCAGTACATCTGCTTATCTGTTTCATGTTATTTTCTTTTTCCTTTTTCTGTTTAGAGGTAGTGTCGTTTCATGTTAGCTCATCATGAGAAGCTGGAATCAGTATATCGTGCTTTTTTTCCCCTTGTTTCCTAGTAGGGCAGATGACAGAAACCTAAACTCAAGGTTTAGGTCTGAGACTTACTTGCCATATGGTTTCACAGATTACGAGCTCATCAGCTCACTAAGTAATTTTTGTCCATCATGAGATTGTTCAATTTGAATTCAATATTAGGGGTGGGCATACATCGGTTTTAAGCGGAAAAACCGGCCAAACCAATTTTTTTGGTTTTCTCGGTTAGGTTTCTTCTGTTTTTTGGTCGGTTTCAGTTTAGAATTTTTGGAAGTTTGGTTCGGTGCTCGGTTTTTCAAAGAAAAAACCGATTAAATCGAATATACGATCTTAAATATACTTATTGCATCGTATCATTTAGTTTTGAGACACTTACATGGAGAAACAAAAAAATTTAGGACTTAGGATCCCTGAGTAGAGGGAGGAAGGAAGATGGACTTGCCGTAGTCGGAGATTTGTCGTTCTAACCAATCGACGGACACTAGATCTCTCTTTAACAATAACAACATGCCAGGATGCCTTTTCCATTGGAAATTGAAGTAGATTTTGGCTGTTCTATAGTATCATTACGTCTTTAAGTGCTTCTGATTTAGTTGTTTTCCTTCTCTTAAGAGTTTTCTTGGTAAATGAGTTTAGATTGACTGTCTAACGGCGGTTGTCTGAGGTACCTTTTACCGTCTACACTGATGTAAAGGTTCTAACTTTCTTGGGTTTCTTCTTCTTTCTTATGAAGAAAGTTTTACTATTTTTTGGTACTGGTATCCAAAAAGAGAATGTACAAATTACAGAGGGCCTTGTATCGTACAAGAATCTAAGAAATCTACAAGTGGTTCTGCATCCTCTGTATAGTTCTCTTTACACCAGAATTGAAAAGACAAAAACAATTCATCTTAATTCTTTGTATGGAACTAATTTTATCCTCAAAACATCTACAATTCCTTTCTGTCCACACCGTCCACCATATACATGCTGGCACCATTCTCCACCATAGCTTCTGACTCTTCCTTGTTTCAATATAATTCCAGCACCACAAAAGGTCCTTGGTATTCTTTGGATCCATTATATTCCTGCCAGGGTAAGGAATAACTGCCACAGAGTATCAGTTACCTTGCAATGTAGAAAGAGATGGCTATTGGTTTTTTCCTCCTTCTGACACAAGAAACATCTGGACGTCATAGGAGTCCCCCTTCTCCGCAAAACTTCACGAGTGAGACAAGCTTATGAAGAAAGTTTTACTTTTTCAGTAGAAAAGTTTCTGATTCGGGGAATCACTTGAAGAAGACGACAGGCATCATTGCAAAATTGTTTTATGAGAAAACGAGGGCCAAATAGATAAACCGAACAAAAAACCAAAATAACCGACCAAAATTTCAAAAACCGAACTGAACCGACCGATTGCCCACCCCTAGATTCAATATAAGCTCCTCTTTTTTCTTTACTTAAATCCATCACAAATTAAGTGTGTTGAATTATACATTTCAAACGTATTATCTGAATATTGGCTTTCTATTCTTTCAAAAGTTTATTTAAGGCATTTCCCCTGCAGTACTACCTTACTATTGTATATCAATAAGATTTTACCTTATAAGAAAAAAAATATTTAGGTTTTACCTAAATTCAGTACAATCACAACTTAGAGATCATTGCTTCATTTTCACCGAGTGCTCCATGTTTTTATTTAAATAATTCTTTTACTTGTTAATTATCTCATAGATCTATATAGAAACATAGGAGCATTCTATTTGATGAAGTTATATAGTGCTTAAAAGAAAAGGTGAAAGAACTTCTATAATATGAACATCACTTGATCAAAAGGGTGAATTGAGCTCTATATCCTATGTTTCTCATGAATTGTTGTAAGATCTGATTTGTTATAGTTCAACAGAAATAAGGGAGGTTAAGGATACATACTTAAACCTTAAGGGCAGTTTTTGTAATTGAATTGTTCAACTAGTGGCATAACTTTCTCGCTGAAGTTATGTCTCCCATTAATATCTGAAACCCCGATTGCTATGAGGTGGAAAATAATGTCTGATGATATTTTATTGATGGTCAATCCTTCAGTTTTGAAGTCATCTGGGGGGAAAAGTTTTTTTTTGATGTTTGAACTGTCCCAGACCCCACTTTGTGGGATTATGCTGGGTTTGTTGTTGTTGTAACTATCCCTAGAAAATCGATGTTGTCACGAAGATTTCTCTGGAATTTTCAGAGTGTTAAACACTTAATTTCCATAAAGTATTGCCATCTTTCCTGTGGTGAAGGTGATAGTATGATTGATTTATTTGGTTTCCAAGGCTTTTGCTCAAGATGTGCGCTCTTATTATGATTCATTTCTTTGGTCTCTAAGGCTTTTGCTCAAGATGCATTGTCTTTACATCTCTTTATACAGGTCGTAGAGAAAGATAATTCTCTGATGAGTTGGATTTGCTCAAGGTTTAAGAAATTAAGTAAATCAGCATCCCCTCAAGTTGTTTCAGATATTTCCTCAGTTCTTGAAGGAATATTGCAGTCTTTCTTAGATGAAGTGAAGGCAGAAAAAATGCATGAGTATGGCGATGAGGATGGTTTGGGTACCGTAAAGTATGCTAGTGAGTACTCGGATCATGAGCTATCTGCTAAAAAAGAAACTCATGAAGTTTCTCGAAGCCTAGCAATCCCTCTGGGAGCAAATCACCGTTCCAGTATGAAATCAAATACTGATAGTGGGGAGCATAGGCCGGTGATTTTTGATTCTAAAGAGTCTGGAGTTTTACCGAGGCCTAAAGAGGTTTATAACCAGCAGATTCTTTCACCTATTGCTAGAACACCGTCGAACTTGAGAAGTGGTTCATCTGATTTAGGCCACCATGGTGGCCTGATGGAGAACCACCAAAATCCAAATATGGACCGTTCATTACCAGCCTCAAGATCATCAGCTGGAGGCATGAGTTGTTCCATGGAGTCACCTATGCAGCGTTTACCACTGCCTCATTCTTCCACAAATCAAGTTGTTTGGTACACTGATGGAGACCCAGCTGCCGCAGATATCTTTCCCGCTTCAAATCAGCTATGGTTGGGGTCTTTAGGCCCTGATGCATCTGAAGCTGCTGTCAGACATAAGTTTGAGATGTTTGGTCCAGTGTATCAATTTGCATTCTTTGCATTCAGAGGTTTTGCTTTGGTTGAGTACCAAAACATTATGGACGCGGTGAGAGTCAGGGAAACCATGCAGGGAACTTCTCCTTGGGGTGCTGGTCTTCGAATAAAGTTCTTGGATATAGGATTAGGAACCAAGGGGGCTATAAATGGTGTTGCTGTTGGTTCTAGTTGCTATATTTATGTTGGAAGTGTTCAGAACCATTGGATGAAGGATAATGTTATGCATGAGCTGAGAAAAGCACTTCAAAAAGGTCCTCGGATGGTTACTGATCTAGGCAGCGAAGGTGCATTGCTGATGGAGTTCGACACACCTGAGGAGGCCACAATTGCCATGAATCAGCTAAGGCACTGGCGTAAGGGAAGGAGTAACTGCAACCAGCCCCTAAACTTAGGTCCAGCTAATGCCACCGCGCATGCGGAAGGTGTAAGACCTAGCTCTGCCTCTGTTTATGTTGGTATTGGAAGCAATATTTGTACCAATAGTACTGTTGGGCCAAATCACTTCCAGAACATGCTTGAGAACCATTCTGACAGTCATGTTCCAAGAATGTCACGTCTATCTTCTTTGCTTTCGCATTTAAGAACCAAATATAATGTTACATACAATCCTGGCTATAAGAGTCATCACATGCCAGGGAACTGTGAAACTGGATTCTCGGGAGGAGATACAATGCAGACAAATACAGTACGGATTAGCATTCCAAATGGTAGCTCCTTGTTTATCACAGAAGATGAGCTTTTGGCTATTTGTAATCTTTCCATTGACAACAAAGGTTCTATCATCAGGTTAATGAGGGAAAATATGCCTATGGGTTCTTGTTGNAATTGCTTCGAGCTGCTTGTCAGGTTTTAATTCACTCGACGCTGATATCTTTCAACGTCCTTGTTCTAGCGCTATTTGATAGTTTATTATAGGTTTAAAGCGACAGTTTGATTTCTGTACTTTTTTAGTCTTTCCCACTCTGATTGGGAACAAGTCCTCTTGTTTTTGGACGAGTTTGTCTCTGTTTAGTGTGTAGTCGTCAAAAACTTACTTGTTAATATTCCTTATATTTAAGATATGATTTACCACATAGCTATACCCCTCAAGAGTGTTGGGGAATGTTCCATATAAAAAAAGAAAAAAAAGTGTTGGAGAATTTTAATGACATATATCATGGAAGTTACCTTTCCCGATAACAACCAAGATTTATTGAAAACCTGAGTGTACACAGATAATATGTCCTTCAATCTTTCCCATGTTGAAATTTGCCCTTAGCAGTCCCTTGCAGCTCTGATCACGAGTGATACACTTGCGTGCATTGAATTCAGAAATAGGCATGTTTCTGGAAACCTTACCGAAACTTTTCTGTAACCTTCATAGACCTATGGTGAAAAGTGATGCACTTGAATTAGCACCCACGGGTGTGTGACAAAAATACTAGGTGGTTTCTTTGCATCTGCCCAAGTCTTATGGGACAGAGCTACTCGGTACCTATGCTTGTGGGAGGTAGCAAGTACCTCGTGGAATTGGTGCGCGCAAGCTGGCCCGGACACCGTGGTTATAAAAAAATTAGTGTTTTCCTTCTTAACAAACCTAGAAATTTGTGAAAAGATCTGGAGTCATTTGAATGATTTGTCACATTTGAATTTCTAACACTCTTCTTATCTTTTTCTCTTTTGGTTCCTGTATACCCAGACCCCACTAGTGGGATTCTACTGAGTCGTTGTTTTGGTTCCTGTTTACCTAGAGTGCTTTACATTGTGTTAAAAGCTTATGACGGTCTTGCACTATGATCTGAGCTTAACAATTGAACTTCTCCTGTTGTTCAAACAGTCACACTGGGCAGCATCATATTCCTGTTCCTGTAAAAAATGAAGGTAGTATTATGGAACTCACATCACCCAGACTAAAACCAGAGCAAGGTAGCATGCCTCATGGTGGATATGCACCTCAGTCAAACTGGGCACCTATAGCAAGCAGAGGGATGCCCGAAGTTGGTACTGGAAAAGCTGATATGTTGGTTCCGATTCCATCACCTAGAGGTACTTGTCCATTACTCTAGTTGTGATCTTTCCAGTAGCAGTTTGATGCTCATTGTCATACGGTTCTCCTGATGATTTCTGCAGGTAATAATATATTCTCTGGTGTTGTTAATGACATGTGGATGCACAGGAAATCTGAAGCAGAGCTTCATTCTAGACCGGCAATTGTTGCCTGCAATCCTGCACCTCCTCAATTGCCTACTAGACCACTACAGCCTATTCAAGGACCTCCTACCGTGCCGCCGCCAGTTCAAGCACTTCCTCCTGCAGCAGCACAGCCAATTCAAGGACCTCCTATTGCACCACCACAGCAATCACAACTGCCGCCCTTTGGGCACCCAATGTACTTTCCCCCAACTGGGTGGGATTCACGTGGTCTGAACCATAACTTGCCTCCAAAGCCAATTCCATCTGGTGCACTTCCTACTAATCTTCACCATTGTTCAGTTGCACCACCATTTGTACCTGCTTCTGTGACTCCACTGTCACAGATGCAAGGCACCTCCATGCCACCATTTGATCATATGTTTCCTGTGCCTGTTGTTCGACCACCAGTGACGTCTTTACCACCACCACCACCTCAGCTTGACTCATTACCCCCATTACCTCCACCTGTCTTGCAGCCTCCATTACCTTCATCCCCGCCTCCACCACCTTATCCTGACCCACCTAATATTCCTCCTCCACCTAGTTCCCCGCCTCCCCCGCCACCTCCATTATCGGAATCTTCAAATTTGGTTAGTTCTGAACCCTACTTGCAGTATCAGTGGCAGGGCTCCTTGAGTAAAAGTGGAGTTCATTACTGTACAATTTATGCACAAAGAGTAGAATCGGATGTTTGCAGGTATTCAAATGCCAATGCTGAGCCCACAGAGTAAGGACTTCAGTGCCTTTGATGTTTTCATAATTGATCTGTAAATATTCTGTTTCTTAAAGTGGAAATGTTTGCAGATGGCCTGCTAAGTTGGATATGACCAAACGCACTGATTTTCGGCATGTCAAATCAACATTTTGTAGTACACCACCCCACAAAGTGAGTCCTTTGAACATTAAAAGGAACGCTCTGCATATCACACACACACACACTCATATATATATATATATATATTCAGATATATAACACATGTTAGCACCTTTTGATAATTGCTACTGTCATCTCTAACATATAATGTTTGGCAGCTTCACTCTTTGTATATCTGTGCCATATCTTTACCTATTCTAACATTTCTACTTTCTTGTTCAAACTAATGTGACACAGAAGGAGATATGCTGGTTGCTACCTTCTTCTCTAGTGGATCACAAGGGCGTAAGTTAATCATTCTCTCCTTCAGTTTTCATTACAGATGAATGTAGTCATGATGTATGCTAGATGGTAGATGGAGAAATGTTTTTGTGTATCTTCCAAATTAGTTGTTATCACCCTGATTTGTGCGCGTATTTTTGCCTAAAATGGGAACTAAATAGAATTTCCAAAGAAAATCGTTTTAGAAGGAGGATCTAGATATAGGAACTTGGACTTTTTCCTCAGCTGTTTGCTAAAACATTATCCAACTTTTCCCACCGGTTTTACCATGACTTGCTATATGCGTTCAGATATGGACCTTAAGGAGATTTTTTCTGCATTTACTTTTTACTTTTCAAATTCCTTCCATTTTTTTGCAACAATTGCTCAATTGTTATAACTGGAAGCAATTTAGAGGACTAAAATGTAGTAACTTGCTTTGTAGTTTCAAGATTTTATATCATACCTGAAGCAGAGGGAATGTGCTGGTGTAATTAAAATTCCAGCCATAAAATCAATGTGGGCAAGGCTTCTCTTCATCCTTCCACAGTCATCTGATACCTGCTCTATGCTCTCAGTTGTGCCTAATCCATCTCTTTGTCTAATTGGTCTGGTGTTGCCTAAAGAAACAAACTTTGAATGGGTGTGATGTTAGTATATGTGGGCAATACCGCATCGGGAAAAGGATGGACGTGCTGCTAATTGCCAAATGCCTCTGCTCGCCAGGTTTTCTTCAGCTTTTTCCATGATTTTCATAATGGCATTTCCCAGAACTTTGGGGAACGCCCATGGATCACAAAGATATTCCCGATGGGCATTCAGTTCTGATTTGCAGTTGCAGCAATGTGGGACGGGCTGATAGTGATTTGCTGGCAAGTATCAATCTGATATACATTATTGGGCAATAGATCAACTCCTCATTCTGTTGAACCGCTGTCATCTAGTGTGAGATAGTTACTGAGAAGTTAATGTTATTTTAATTTAAATTGTAGGTAACTCAAAGATCATTTCATTGATATTGCACCAAGTTGGTGCCAACTCGATGTTAAGTAATACTGTAGTAGCCATGAAGTTGGAGGAAAGCATCAGGAAAGAATTGTCTTGTTTGTAGGGGAGTCTTTTGTACTTAGAATCTGCTAAGCCTTTTCTTCTTTCTTTCTTAGCTCCGTTCATAGTGGAGTGACATTTTTTGATGTCCATGTAAGCATAGTAGAATATGATTGTATGTAAAGTGTTAAGTAAAAATTAGCTGCACGAATGTCAACTAGTTGGTGCTGGCTTCGCTAAGGATGGCAGGACTGCTGGTATGTAGCTCGCTCTCCGCAAGACGTTCTAATTTTTGGTAGTACGCAATGTGAGTAAAGTACTATGTATGGGGTTGCAAAATTCTTTCTATTTCCGTTAGACCCATGTTCCCTTGCTACCGCTTAATTTGAGTTCAGACCAAGATAAATCGAAGTGTATGATTATAATCTTATCAAAGGAAACCAAAATTGAGATTAAAAGGAAAATAAAATCATTCAACTCTATTATACATTATCAAATAGTTGTCCGACTTTGTGTTTGAATCTGATGTAGAGTAGTAGTCGAGTTAGCTCTTTGCTGACGTCGACTCTTGTACAATGTCCGGTTGCTGCTCATGTCTCCGGTCCAGTTTAGCAGCCTCAATGGCGGCTGAGGTTATTATCAATCTTGAGCACGCTAAGGGGTCGTTTGGTAGGGTATATAAGCATAGTGCTGGAAAAGGTGTATTAATAATGCAGGGATTAGTAATACAAGCATAAGGTATGTAGAAATTATTTCTTATCTACTGTTTGGTGTGGTGTACTAAAACTTAAAATGCATTGCATAATTGAAATTAGTTGTTTACAAAAATGCCCTCCATATGCTTTAGTTTTAAAGGACTTACAATTTTGTCTTTAACCATGCTAATGCATGTATTAATAGCCTTGGCATTGCTAATACTATGGTTTGCTATGTATTAATTACACATATGATAATACCAAATAGGTTGTATAATTAATACTTGACTTAGTAATACATAGGTTGAAAGAGTATACCAAACAAGGAATTAGTAATACCAAAAGTTAATGCATGCATTATATTTTTTAATGCATTCTACAAGACGAAAGGGTATATCATTGGCTCCTTCACTCTCAAACAATAGTAGGCACTGAAAGTTGCTTGCAGCCATCATCACTGGAAAGGAAAACTTGTTTGACCTAAAAGCGTAAATCTTGAGCTAAACTAATTATTTTTATATAATGAGAGGTTAAACCTAGTTAATAATAATATCCCTAGATTTATAATCGGTTAACACAAATAACATAGAACAGTGTTGGTGGGGGATTAAATGCAGTGTGCATTTAATATTCCAATCAATTTGAGTAATGAGAGATAAAAGTCAAGTAGCAAATAACAATAAATGGCATTAACGTAAATAAAGAGAATTATTCACCCAATATTGAATGAGGTGGATGATTCTTCTTTTTGACAGTGATGAATGATAGACGAATCCTAGAATATTGGATATATTCTCGGATCTGATGGAAAAGTATTGAATAACTGATGATATAATCTTAATGAAAAGGCAATGCTTGTATCTTTTCTAAAGAGAGAGTCTTCTTCTCAAAAAGTGTTCTTATCAAAATAAATTTTACATACCTTTCTCCTTATCTCTTTTTCTATTTATATGGGACATACCCCAGTCAACCATAAAAGTACAAGTACAGAGAATATTCAATGGAATATTTTCCTAAAGATCGTGTTATAAAAACTAGCCGTTAATACTGCCCTTGATACTTGACCTCGGCCGTTATTGGCTGCCCGACTAAGACCCCCACTGTTTACTAGTCGACCTCGGCCACATCACTTTTCGTAATACCACTTCATGCTAAATCTCCTTGAGGCAGATTTTGACCTATACAGTTAGTCCCTCCGCTTATTGAGGTCGACCCTGGACGACCTCGATGAGCGGACTCTGTTATGGTTGAGAAATTTAGGCGAGCAGTCGAGTAGTGGTGTTTCAGACGGGGTAGAAACATCTCCTTTCATGAGCCACAACCTAGGGTCACGTCGTTTTAGAATGACGTCATGCCATCACACGTCATTACGTTTTTTCGATACCTTGCATCGTTTCCTGTGCCTCTACCGTTTCGATGCCTGAGCTGGGAAACGACGGTTTGCTTTCTCGATATTTATGCCTGAACTCTTATAAATAGGGATACAAAATCCTTTGCCTTATTCTTTGCAACCTAAACATTTGTATCTTCATACCTTCTTCTTCCTTCTTCACTTAGAATTCCTGCCCTTTCAATTTCGCTTTTATGTTTTGCTTTCACTGACTCTGGTGACTTTTATTGCTCTTGATTCTTCTGTGTTTACACATTCTTTACTCATAAACAAAAGATGGTTAATGTGTCTTCCAGTTTTGGGGGAGTACCTGACCTTGTTCCCTTGGCAGTGCGCATGCCTTCCCATGACGATTGGGTTGATACTGTTGCTGAGGATGACAATTTTCTTACGGTGGAGGAAATAATTCCCCATGCTGAGAAGGCTACGTTTGATTTCTCAAAGATGTCCGAGGATGACCCAGAGATCTCGGAGTTGTTGATGAATGAGGTGGGCCTTGCTGAATTTAGGGATAGATTCAAGATTCCCGCTCATATAGACCTGGTTCCTTCAGGGCACGACGTGGTGCAGATACACCGCCCTGGGTACTGCGCTTTCTATGTGTACCCCTTCCATATCGGTTACTCTTTCCCTATCCTCCCTTTTGGTCGAGGAGTTCTTCCACTATTACCGCGTCTGCTGGCTCAACTTTCCCCCTATATCTACAAACTCATCCGCACAATTTCGAAGTACGCAGAGTTAGCCGGGTTTGAGTCATCGTTCTCCACCTGATGCACCTCTTCGCCCCTAGATTTCATCGTGGGACGATGCTGCATCTTCTCCATCGGGGAGGCAAATGCCTAGTGGTGAAGATGTATGACAAGGAAAACCGCAAGTTTTGGCTCAATTACTTCTACATCAAGTCTGAGGACGTAGTGGCCAATGCAGACGGGTTCCCCGAGGTTTGGAACTACGCTCGTAAGTATCTGCCTCTCTCTTTCTCTTTTTTTTTTGTATTATGCGTTACCTCTAATTTCCATTATGTTGATATCTCATCTCTTTTCTGTGTAGCCGAGGCCGCACACCCTCCTTTGGTCGAGGACATCTACGGTTGGGTCAGCCAGGTTCTCCCTTATACAGCGAGGATTCACGAATGGACGACCCTCCTCAAGAGGTTCGGGCATGCACATCCTATGGCCAGTGAGTTTGTCTGCTTTGAGTTTTTATTGTTTTGTGAGGATCGATCTCTTAATCTTTCTTTCCTCTTTTTTTTTCTCATCCCGGGGATCCTCGAGATGGCCGAGGGCTCCTACTCTTGCATTCCGCCAGAGAAACACTACAACTAGGTCTGCCCCTACTATGACTGTGGCAAGGCGTGCCCGACCATCCACTTTTGTTCAGCCTCCGGTTTCAGCTATATTTGCTCGACCATCAACGACCTCAGTACCAAAAACTCCGGCATTTCCCGTGCTGCATTTAATAGGCGAGTCATCACCGAGTAAGGAGGATTTGATCCCTCATAAAAGGAGGTCTATGGATGTCGATGGATATCGGTGATGGAACAACCCGAGCAGTCGATTCTACAAGGGGCTATCGTGAGCCGATGATTGCCATGTTTTAAAGTGATGCAGACCCGCCGTCTGAAGTCCCGCTATTAGCGGGCATCGTGGAAGGTGTACCTTTGCCTGACGCTAAGGTTGGAGTTGGCGGGCCGCCTGTGGAAGTTATGGGTACCGTACTAAAAGATGAGCCATCGTCCTTAAGACCTACTAACGTTCCTTTGTTTGCCGATGGGAGAGATAAGGGCATTGCCGAGGACGACTACGAAATTGGCTTCGATACTGATGTCGATGAGGTACGAATGCGGAGCGAGGGATTCACTCGGGTGGAAGTAAGGCTGGAAGGGTCCACTCATATCATCGTGGTCCCTATGGACCGGGTTTGAAAGTATGGTGTGGAGAGTATTCTTTTGATATGCTACTTCTCAAAAAATTCGGCGGCCTTTTTTCCAGTAAATTGGGGTTCGTTGTCGCAACTGATCTTTTTGGGGAGGCCGAAGCGGCACACAATGTTTTTCCATATAAAGGCGATCACTTCCTGTTCGCATACCTGGGTGAATGCTCATGCTTCTATCCATTTAGAAAAATAGTCAGTTAAAACCAAAAGAAATCGTACGTTACCTCGTCGCACAGGGAGGGGGCCAACGATGTCCATTCCCAACTTAATGAAAGGCCAAGGGGAAGTGACCGAGTGGAGGTGCTCGCTGATAAGTAGGGATTTTGACCACTTATTTTCTCTCTTTTACTTGTGTTTTAGCTCAAATATGCTTAAATGCATTCCAGGAACTAACAAAATGTTCTTGCTTGCATGAATATTGGGAAATGAGCCAAAGAAATCTAAATCAACTAATAAGGAGTCAAAAGTGAACAAGATCCAAAATAGGTCAAAAAGGGCAGTAGTACGGACCACACATTTCTAGTGCGGTCGTAGAGAGGAGATTCAGAGAGTAGCATTTGGGCCAGCTAAAGGCATGCGAACCGCACCAAAATTATGAGGCCGTAGGAGGTCAAGTGCGGCCACAATCATTATTATGCGGTCCGCAGGATTAAAGAATCAACGAGGTGTTTCAAGTCCAAAAGCAGGGAGTGTAAACCGCAACATTTTTGTGCGCCCGCACAATCAGAAGTGCGGCCGCTTTCATTTTCATGCGGACCGTAGAAGCCCTGAAGTTCCAAGACCAAATTCCCAAGAATGAGGACCGCACGATAATTGTGTGGACGCAGAAGCCCATTGTGCGGACCGCACTGGAATTATGCGGTCGCACAACCTTCGCAGGGGCATTTTTGTTAGATATTTGTAGCTTAGTATAAATAGTACTTTTTGTCATTTTTAGGTTAAGTTTAGTTTGTAGCGGTGCACCTGAGCCGTTTTCTTTACTTCTTTGAGTAATTTTGTACTAGATTGACTTCAAAGCATTAGATTTTCTTTGTCTAATCAATTATTATCCATTCTATCTTAATTTCTTCTTGTATTTCTTTATTTTTCATGAGTAGCTAAATCTTTAGCTAGGGTTGTGACCCATACCTAGTGTGGGTACTTAATGGGTATTTGATTTAGGGCTTGTTTATGATTGGGTTAGTGATATTTAGCCTTGTTTATGCTTGAATTCTAGAATTAATAGTTGCAAACATTGATTTATGGCTTTGACCTAGTCTTTACTTAAGAGAGAGAGACTAAGTCTAGGAAAACTTGGCTTACAAGGAATTGGGGTGAAC